AGCAGAGCCGCATTAGCCGATATTCCTCTAGAGCGCCAGTTACTGTGACAGGCGGAGTGACACCCGATAACTTTAGATTGTTGTAGATTTTGCTGCAAATTAAAAAAAAAGACATCCCCTGAAAATAAGACCTAGTGTGGTTTTTGGGGGCAAAAAAAATATAAGACAGTGTCTTATTTTCGGGGAAACACGGTAAACGCTGTCCACTGATGTCCCCACTGCTGCACCGCTGGTACCGCTGTCCCTGGTGGCAAAGGAAGCCGGCGCTGTAGAATGCAAAGCTGCGGAGGGAGCAGAGCCGCATTAGCCGATATTCCTCTAGAGCGCCAGTTACTGTGACAGGCGGAGTGACACCAGATAACTTTAGATTGTTGTAGATTTTGCTGCACATTAAAAAAAAAGACATCCCCTGAAAATAAGACCTAGTGTGGTTTTTGGGGGCAAAAAAAATATAAGACAGTGTCTTATTTTCGGGGAAACACGGTACTGTGACTGTCACAGTACGGTACCTGGCTGCAGCTGTCTGGAGCTCTGTAATGCCGTCCAGGGAGCCAATCGGATCACCTCAGCTTTGACCCCCACTGGTCATGCCGCTGTGCCTGCTGGGAAACGTAGTTTTCCAGCGGCAGCTCTAATTTCCTAAAAGCCGAGGGCCGGCTGGCAGACGGGTCGACGGGAGGGGGTGAGAGAGGGAAGGAGCTGCGGCGGCCAGAAAGTTTATTGCGATCTGGCAGACAGGAGACAAGCTGCACATACCGGTATCATTGATTTTTTTACACTCCTTGCTACGCTCCAACAGACCCCTTGCTGGCTGCTTGGATGCAGCAATACCGGTACATGTGCGCCCCCCCTACCGCCGAACTAGGTCTTATTTTCGGGGTAGGTCTTATATTACAGAAATCCCTGACAATAGCGCTAGGTCTTATTTTCGGGGTAGGTCTTACTTTCAGGGGAAACACGGTATTCATTGAAAACTGCGCCTAAGCAGCTCTGCTTCTGAAGCGCCTAGGTGTGTGAACTTAGCCCAGGGGTGGGCAACCTCGGCTCGCCAGCTGTGCTGAAACTACAAATCCCATAAGGCATTGCAAGCCACAGGCATGACTCCCGGAGGCGGAAGCGTGATGGGATTTGCAGTTTCAGCACAGCTGGAGAGCCAAGGTTGCCCACCCCTTGACTTAGCCTAAACGTTTGCACTGGACTTGTGCTTTGCCACTTTTTTTTTTTAAAATTTTTTACCCTGTCCACAGCGTGACAACACTGGTGTGTGTGATTTTTGCAGTGTTGTCAGCCGATTACAGAAAGTGGCAAAGTAACATAACTACTGGCAGGTTGAGCAAGTAACCGCAATAAAACAATATTACTTGGGGGGACTCAGGTGAACAAAACCCATTGTGTGAATTCTCATGTAATCCCGCACCTGGAGCTCATCCATTGGACGGGGCTTCTGATCTCCCCCCTGGATTATTTTGTATCATGGAGAATAATGCTGGAGGTCTGGTAACACTCCCATTAAAGTTTTTTGGGGGCAAAAACGCTTATTTCTGCTTACTTTTTTGAGCTACAGGTGGCGCAGTGCTTGGTTCCGAGGGGCAAAGTTGCCCCCCGTTCACACATTTTCCCTAAAGTAGAACAACGCTGAACATGAAGAATCCTCTTCATTTCACTGGTTGCTGTTACAGTTGCGTGTTGTCACCTGTAGCTCCTCCCCTTTTTTGGTTTTTGTTATGGTCTGTGTGCAGCAATGGAGAGCACTGATAGGATAGCTGCATGATTCTGTCCTTTAATCTGTGTCCCCGCCCTGTCTGTGTCTCCTCAGGAATCCGGGTTTGTCGGTTTCATACGCTCTCTGCGGGAGAAGGATCACGTCAAGCTGGGCAAGAAGAAAGAAGAGCTTTAACCCCGGACGCCGCTACGGGAACGTCGCCCCACTTCCAGGACCAAGAACCCCACCCCCCAAGAACAGCTCCGTTGCGGTGCGCTCCGCAGACTCTCCGCACCTTCCTCCCCTCCCCCCCACGCAGCGCTCGTGCACTCGCAGCCATTCGATGCATCGCATCTCCATTGTAGTGCATTGAGATCCGTCTCCCAGTACTGACGCGGTCCTGTCCGATGTAGTGCGAGGGCCTGCGGGTCCCACAACATGGCGGCGGCGGCTGGGAGCGGATTCCACACACAGAAAAGATGGGGGATTATTGGAAGGAGAGTGAAACCACTTTTTATTATTTTTTTAATATCCTATTATGTGTATGCAGTTACTGAATCAGCAGGACAAAGAGTACCTGTCTCCGGAGGGGGGAGGAGGATGACATAGGCTCACCAGGAGGCACTTTGCCTCAATGAGGTTACAATTTCCTGGTGAATGTAATATGCAGATTTGAGGTCTGGGGGGGGCGGAGGGGGCGGGGCTTCCTTCGCTGCAGATGACGGGTATCATGAATAGAAATGCATTATAGAGATCCGTTAAAGGGCCGGTGCCTAGTGGAGCTCATACCTTTCTGTGCCTACCTACTGCCATCTTGTCGGCTGTTCTGAGCGGGCAAAGCTCTGCCATTGCTGCGTAGTCTCCTCCCCCTACATGCCCATTGGGCCGTCCCCAATGATGGGCATCCTACACGGCTCATAGGCACACATGTGCAGCAGGGGGGGTGCAAGTTTTGCTCATTGGGAACAGCTGGCCGTAGCAGAAGGGATGCTGCCCGGCCTACACTTTGCACCGGTCAAGTTTTAAAGAGAACCTGTCACCATGCAGTATATCCGGGGTCTGTTGTGAAGTCGAACCGGTTTATTCTCACCTGCAC